ACAGACGTTAACCCATTAACACAAAAATCAATGGTTGTCCACATGTCCCAGAAAACAGTACACTGTATAATCAAGAAAGATCTCTCTCTGGGAAAGCAACACAAGTCACGTGTACATAAGTTGTTTCCACGAAATATATGTTCAACCATCACATACATCAAAAAGTTGGAGAAGGAAGCGTATGTGTTTGCTTTTCATGTGAAGGTATACCATTCAAGTCGTCAGATGCAGCACCTATAGATTTATATTTGATCAAACTGTTGAAACGGAAGTTGTAAAACTCGTCATTCTACGATAGATAACTTATAGAAAGCTGTCATGTAGTAGTGGTGTGCTTTTCGCATGGCAGTCTTATGACAGAGTTTTTTTGAAATAGAAACTACGCTGCAGGACTATTGTTCAGATGCAAGGCCATTAAATAGAACATGACCAGACCTGGCGACATGGAATCTAACGATGTGGTGAGCCTCTAAATTCGTTTTAATATAACGTACTCAACTTTTGTATAAGCGGTCAAAGTACAAAATCCAAACTATTCATGATGTTTAAGCAATATAAGACACTCCAGTAGAGAGACTGCCAATGACCTAACTATAAGTACAGGTGTGATTGCTACTTCTAGAACAATAAGATATACATTAGCATGAAATAGCCGTTGTGGGTGTGTAGCTGCTCAAAAATGATGTTTATAAGATATAGTTAAATCAAAAGGCTGAAGTGGTCGTCAGACTTCAAATAATGGACAATAAATTACAGAGGGTGTTCTTTAAAAGCGACTCAGTTACAAATTGCTTAGAAACAATCACTGATCGTTTGTTCCACGGCCGTGTGGAGAACGTTGTTAAGATCAGTATCTAAAGAAGTATGCTGTGGGACAGATAAAAGTGTGAGGCGAATCTCAGTGAAAGATTTTAGAGATTTAACCAAAATTAATGGACCTTAACAGTAGAAATCCACGATCATATTCTTATCCATCATTTCATTCCCTCAGGAACAGGACCTGTTAGTCAGAGAAAAATTCATCATCCTGTAAGACTCTGATCCTAAGCATAGAGCAAGATGCTAAAACGAAGAAACACTTGCAACCAAGATATGAATATGCTGAATACTGTATAGGCTTATATAGGCTTTAAGGATTTCTTTCCTCATCTGCTTTTATTTTATTAATAATAAAGTATATTTCTCCCTTTTTTGCATTAAAGTGAACACACAATTCTTTGCGTGAGAAAAAAGTGAAAACTGACCTTTAAAGCAACAATGTTTTTAAAAGTCATTTTGTTTGAAATTAAGCAAACTGCATTACTAAAACTATAAATATTAGAAAAATCATACTATTTGTCTGAGAAAAAACAACTCGGATCAATTTCACTATTTTGGAAGTTAAAGATTCACTAATTATTGTATCCTTTTCGAGTATCTCATGTGGCGTAAAGTTGCATGTTTGTTTGTATATTATTTTCATGCTAGAACGTAAAGAAAAAATTGCCTAAAAACAGCATTACATTTTTAAAAAACATCTGTTATATATGGTGTACATATGGTATAATAATTCGAATTTCTAGACATAAGCTTAGTAAAGTAAGTTTTTTCAAAATATCTAAAAAACAAATAATTTGTAATTTTTATTTATTTATAAGTTAATATGCAGAAATATCCAGAGATATAACAGTGCTGTGTAAGTTTGGCTTTCCAAATTGTTAGTGCGACCCTCATAATGTATTATGTCAAATAAGTACTCGAACAATAAAGCTTCTCGACATATTACGAATTTTCTAAAACTAATTGGCGTGATTAAAATAACATATTCTTATACACATCATGTTCTATTAATACTTGAAGAAATGTTTTGTGAAATAGTCAGCTACGCAATTTACTATAATTTTTAGTAAAATATATATAAGCTTTTCTGACTGAATTCGAAACCATCTTAATTGTATATTAATAAAAAAAATTATTTAAGCCAGCTTACTTTTTCTGATCTATTAAATATTTCAAGCCAACATTGAATTACTTATGCATCATTCATAATTGTGACCTATTTATTTAAATAATATATATATATACTTAACTATAATTCTTTCGAATTCTGAAAGAAAGAAGAATCTTGGCTGACAGAAGTTATATTTTTTTTACAAATTTCACCTTTAAAATATTTATTGAGTATTTGTGCATAGGAATCAAATAAAACTTTAGAAGGAAAATATAATGAACATACTTCTATGGTTTCATTATATATGTAATTCTAAACACAATTTTAAACCACATTCGTATGAAGCTAACAACAAACGAAATAAAAACCAAAACTAACAGGTTTGAGGACTGCGTATTGCTAAGCATCTCATATTTTCTGTGTGAGTTATTGCTCTCAGCATCTGTTAATCACAAAACATAATACCTAATTATTTATTTTACAAAACCATCATAGAATCGAGTAGGCTAATGTTATATTTTAGGCTGAACACAATATTTGTTTTTCTCATAACATAATTTGTTTCCAAAGAATTAGCATGGTTTCTATAATCTATATAACACTTGTATTACTTAAACTATTTATTTTAATTCATTTACACATCATTTGTTATTTTCGAATGGTCCATTATTGGAACTTAGTTTTTTATCGTTTCATAATAAATGCTTGTCTTTGTCGAAAACAACACTGAGGAATTATATTGTAGTTAAATAACATATCCCAGCAAAATCTCATAGATGTAATATTTAAAAAATTACTAATATTTTTGATTCGTATTAGGTAGTTTCTTTTTATAGGAGCAAAAATAAAAACAATCAAATATATACGATTGTTTCATGAAAAGTTTATTAAAGCAAATATTTAAAAAAATACAAGGAAACAAGCGACACACAGCCTTTTAAGATAATTCATTCTTGTCCATTCCCTTTAAATATGATTTTATATGTTTAGGGATGTTATTATTTTATTTCAGTCCCCTCTGCAACAGCGGCAAGTCTTCGGATTTACAACGTTACAATCAGAGGGTTCAATTCCCTTCAGTATAAACAACAGATAGTCCGATGTGGCTTTTCTATAACAAAACATACACCTTTTTATTTAATTGTTTATAACTTTTATTGACTAGATATAAGTGAGTGCAGTCGAAAAAGAAAAGTGAAGATATTATGAAATGCATTTGGTATTTTCTTTGAAACATGTGCTTATAGTATTGATAAAACAATATCTATTGTTAGTTGTACCATATGAAGTTGACGATAAATTTGGCATTCGGAAGTAACAGAATCAAAGAATAAACTATAATCTTTTCCCAAGACATATCAATTGTATAAATAACCTTTCACGTCTACAGTTATACATTTAAAATCTTTTAGAAGCTGTAACTATTATGGATAATTCGAGAACTTTTTTGAACTGCATTATGTTTAGAAAGTGTCATTTAAAGAAATTAAATATTATTTCAAAATTTACACTATATAAATAACGCTTTTTCTGCCTAGCGTGAAATACTTAGTGTACATTTTTCGTGAAATTATTCATGCAATATGATTCAAGTACACAGGTTTAAAATTTTCTCCTTATTAAAGTAATGAGTATAGTTTTTCATGGGGGGGGGGGGGAATTCTATTGAAACCGAAGCAACCCTTCGCTTTTCATTTAAGTTAGTTTAAGTTGTAGCTAAGCAACTTCTGTATAGCTATGAAAAGTTCATCTACTTATGGTGCTTATTGCAATCATCAAAGCAAAGCAATATGTTATGACCACATACATATGACTCCTACTTTTCGCTTCAAATACCAGTCTGGAATGTATTTAATATCTACTTCCAGGCCTGGTGATTTTTTTGGAACTAGTGAATGAGCCTTAGACCATGTACTTTGCTAATGTTTCATCTTATTAATTCTATTCGTGTGTTTTTCATTTCAGTTTTGTGATGAAATATCATCCATCCAGAAACTATCTTTAGATCTTTAAGGTATTTAAAAGCAAGCTATTACTGGAAATATCATAAACAAGTTGAATATATACATATCTTTTATATATACTATCCGTATCAGATTTTAGAAAATGCTCAGGCCATGATGTACTATCTTTAATATATAGAACTTCAACGTAACTTCAGTATCAGAGAGTAAAATGTATTAATTTTCATTTTCTGAAACACTGAACGCTCCTGCGAACATGTTAATTTTCATAAAGGCATAATGTTATAGACAATTTTAATAATACAAGTTGGATAACTTGAGTATGTTTAAAGAAACCGTCTATTTCAGTAAATATTGTAGTTACAGATATTGTAACACATAGCCTGCCATTTGAATGCTCTCCACATGCTCGACTTAATGGCTCTGTCATGGGTACATTTATTAATGTATAGTATATTTGTATAAGAATTCCACATATATCTTGTAAGTATTTAACACAGACTGGCCACCCATTGATGCTGTTATATTAGTCGTTTATAAACTTAATTACGTTTATCTACTTATTCACACCATATGTTTAGTAACAATTATAAAATGTTCTTTTGATGCTCTGTAAAAAGTAATTAAATGCCACTTTATTAAATTTGCTAAGATTTAAATTTGCAGTGAATGTTTATCGATTACCAAATTGATAAGTAACCAAAAAGATTGGCTTGTTGCGAACAATAAACTAAGCTGGAAGTATTACAAACGTAGAAGAATTATATTTCAAAAATTACAATGCTAAACCTAATTGTTTAACTTCTTTGGAAACTCCTGTATTACTTCATGAAATAAAAATTACCAACTGGTGAAGAAGAAATAACTAATTCCTGATATGTTTTAAAACATGCTTGTATATTTATTTTAATTTGGTAACAATTGCAGTGTGTTTTAAAAAACATGCTTATATATTTATTTTAATTTGGTAACAATTGCAGATTGTTTTAAAAAAGATGCTTATGTATTTATTTTAATTTGGTAACAATTGCAGAGTGTTTTTGAAAGATGCTTATATATTTATTTTAATTTGGTAACAACTGCAGATTGTTTTACTCATATTTCAGTAATATCAGCGAACTTAACAGCAGTTGAAGATCGCTCTGTTGTTCTACCCTGTAATGTAAGTTTCCCAGCTGAAAACGACGCCATCTCTTTAGTTCTCTGGTTTCGTGGAGATTCTGGTGTACCAATTTATAGCCTAGATGCTCGCAACGGCTCAATCTACAAAGCCTTTCATTTCTCTGACGACATCCTAGGAACACGTGCCTACTTCAATCTGACCTCGAAACCCCCACTATTAAAGATAGAACCGGTCAAAGAAGAGGATGAAGGAGAATATGAATGTCGGGTGGATTATCGACGAGCACGTACAGAAAAGTGGAGAGGCCACTTGAGAGTGATTGGTAATCCCATTTTATCTCTTAGAAACTCTTGCTACACACAATGATCCTTTAGAGATGACAAACAGCTATTCTTGTTTAATCAAAGGTATATGAGAAAACTAAAAACAAATTGAGCCATAGAAATGATAACGCATAAATTATTGCGTATTACATATTATAATACGCCTAATAACATTTCATATTCCATATTATCATATGCCAAATACTTCTTTTCTTTTACCATTTGTAAATTTCTCTTTCACGGTTACTTTTAACAGTCTATATATATACTTGACAGTAGTTTATAAAATTATCAATCATACTCAAACGAGTATCAAGTTTCAACAATATAGTAAAATAGACATCATTCATACACATTATGACTGCCTATTGTTTACACAGGTCTTTACATTTATGTTATTGCAAGATTTTCTACTAATTTATGAACGTTTACACCACTTTCTAAATAAATTTCAAGTAAAACATTTCAGATCTTCCCACAGTGAGTACACAAAGTTGGCTTATCAATGGAACTAAGAAATTTTAATATGAATGTCTGGTAATAATATCAGTTCCTTTCTACTCAGCGTGAGTTACAGTTAAATTTTTGAAATATTTATCGAGCTTTACTCTTTCATAACTTTGCTCAGCGTTAAGTGTGTGAGTTTTTATTCGGGGCTCGATCTCTGCATTAGGGATAGTCAATTGTTTTACTTTTAAGATAAACATACATAATATGTATCATGTACTTTGGTTTATTAATATTTCAGGCTATTCTGATAAACTCATTATATCTACAAAAAATATGAAATAGAATTTAAATGAATGTTCCTAGTTTTGTTATGCGGATAGGAAAATAATAACATCATTCGTAGATTTTAAATATGTGCGTGAAAAATAGATTTCAATTTTACATTACTTTTGATGTGTAATGCGCATTTGAGGCAAGTTATCTTTCTTTTTAAAAGTGATAAGATTGGCTTCTGAATGAAATTCAACAAACCAGTTTAATTTTTTTATCCTTATAATGATGATTTGAATGGAACCTGACGTTAATTTATTTTAATGAGAAAATCTATTTCAGTTCCTCCAAAAAATGTTGTTATCATGGACCATGAAGGAACACAAATAGAAGGAATTATCGGGAGATTCAATGAAGGATCATTTCTGTCATTATCCTGTGAAGCTGAAGGTAGTGAATTAAGCATTATTTCACATTAAGTTCCTACTATCAAGTGACTGAACGCATTTTACACTCTGGAAAAACGTGTGCGTACCTGTGACTCGTGTTACGTATTGTAATTTCAAATGGTCTGAAACCGAGCTAAATAATACTTTAGCTTTAGTAGTTAAATTGTACTTTGGATTTAGCAGTTAAGTAAAATCTGATATATAGTCAGTTTATGATATTTGCCAACAAGATTGATACACATATTTCTTTTTTAACACAAATTCGTTTTAATATAAACACAACAATACCAGTTACAATAACAGTTATTACAAATAGTTATTACAAACAATGATTCATATACAAAAGTTTCACAAAATTACAAGCAATATAATGTCTTCTTTCTAGTCTGAAACTTCCTTGATATTTTATCGAGGGTTCACGATGAGCGAGTTAACTACTAGTTGATGTAGGGACAATTCGCTTAACGGGAAGCTAGCTAGCTTTGTCCTCTGTTATTTACCGGCCACACACGTCGAGTTTTCCACGGTGAATTTATATAATGTTATCGTAAAATGTTAATATCCAATGATAATCCACTGAAGTTAAACGATTTGTAGTGTTCCAACTTTGTAAAGGTTCCTGGTCAAATATCTGAGGTTTTCCCATTGGTAAGCGTTATAACAATCACAGTTATAGCCTCCAAAGTTTATAGTACACTGACTATAGAAAACTAATAATAGACACTCTCTTTTGGCGCGTCGTGTTGGTTATATTTATAGGCGTGTGGTGGTTTTCTAGAAAATTCAGATTACGTAACAATACAAATTTAAGCGTTAACGTACATACAACTGTTGTTGATTCATACTCTCGAGAATCTTCTACAACTTTGGAGAATAGGCGGGAGTTCCCAATATAT